CTATCACGTCGATTTATGTATTCATTTTTAATTTAAGTAGATGTTACTAATGACTTGCGTAAAAAAATCAGCCGTAAGAATATGATATTAAATACTTTTGCTGGATATGAATATCTTGGCTGTTATATTTTTTTTTTATCTTCCTGTTTTTTACATCTCCCATGGTCCTTCTCTCAACTCTTCATTACAGGCAACAGGATTTTCTCATGACCAAACAACTTCACTTCCCAACCCTCATAATAATAATAATAATAATAATAATAATAATAATAATAATAATAATAATAATAATAATAATAATAATAATAATAATAATAATAGTAATAGTAATAGTAATAGTAATAATAATAATAAAAATAATAATAATAATAATAATTATACGGAAAACAGCGACACACATCACATCAATGGTGCATCCACAATAAAACTATAAAAATCAAAATAATAATAATAATAATAATAATTATAATAATGGTAATAATAATAGGGCCTAATAACAATAATAATAATAATAATAATAATAATGATAATAATATAACAATAATAATAATGATAAGATAATAATAATAATAATAATAATAATAATAATAATAATAATAATAATAATAATAATAATAATAATAGTAACAGCAGATGTTTGTATGATCGACTCCCCTCGAAATTCATATTCCCATTCATCTTACTAGTGGGTCACTTTGAAAGACGTTCCGGCCCTGGTAATAATAATGTAATTAATGATACAAATAATATCAATTAATCTGTTCCACATCAAATTTCTAGGTGATATTGAGGTTGATAGCCGTCAGCATAACATCATTTGCGATCCCGTCTTTTCATTTTCTCCATTTTTCTTGAATCTCGTCATTAATTGTCTATATGTTAAAATCCGTACTACCTGTTTTTTTCTTATGATCTGAATTTTATATGAGTAAATTAGTTACATCTGTCTACAGCGTTAGACTGACGGTTTTAACCTTAATGCCCATACCCTTTTTAAATAACATTTACAGAATTCATCAAATATTGTGTGTGTATTTACTAAATTTCCGGGAAAATAAGTATGATCTCATTACAGTCCCCACCCAGCATAAGAAATAAATCAACATCTTCGTTTGACCAAAAGAGATTCCATAACTCTGAAGGTCCCGATTCCTGAAGCTCACATACGCAAGTATCCTGCTCAACATTTACCAATTTGTTCTCGTCCCATTTGCTTATTCTGTTTTCGAGCTAAAGTGTGTTTGAGCGGGACTTGAATTTTAGTTGGGCACCAAAGAAATCTGTTTTAAATAGTAGATAATTTTCTTACAGTTATACTTAGATAATGATGATTGTGTACAAGTTTTACTTCCACTCATCATTATACATTTGACGATTGATACAGATAAATGACTTGTTGAATCACGTGGGATATCAATTGAGAAGACATGTTTAAATCCAGCGTTGATGAGATAGAATGCTTTTGATAGAACTAGCCGTTTGCTTCTTAGGTTAACATCATCATTATGTATGGCAAACAATGCACTTAATAACAGTTTCTAAAGGCCATCGGTGATCATCTAAATTAACAAGTATGTCAACATATTTAATTTTCTTTTCATTATTGATATTCTCATTATCCCAACCTAGATCATTGTAGTTCAGATGCCGGCGTATTTCTTGGTGCTTTAAGAATTGATTTATCAATTTGTAATTGTAAAGTTTTCTAATTTGTTGTAATCACTTGCACTATCTGAGGCAGATACTGCACACGCATAATTTGTGGACGGAAGCATAGTTGTCTTCCACAAGATATCCCTAAAATAAACTCTATTAAAATTATTCTGACTATTAGATGGATTTAATGTAACCGATTAATCTGTTACCGTACCTTTCCCTGTAACCTCATAATATGAATACATTTGGAAAAGCTCCTAGATATATTGCTTGACACTCAGGTACATATAACTACCAACTTCTGTAACATGATGCTCACCTAAAGGAATGTTTATTTTTGTTTGTTCGTTTGCCAACCACAACTGTATTTGACTTATTAAAGTTAAAGTAAAGTCTCCATTTTTTTTTAAAAACTGACTCGTAATATTAAGCATGTTTTTAAAATCAATTTCATCATTACCAATTATAAAACGACGCCGTCAGCCCAAAAGAGCAGCTAATTGTTATACCTGAAGTATAACAGCCTACTTCTTCATTACGTAACATTTTAGAAGTTCATTAATAAAAATATAAATTTAATAAAAATGGGAGACAAGACGCAGCCTTGTTTAACACCTTCGTTAACATCGAAAAAATATGTAACAGCATCACCAAATTTAACATTGCTGTTAACGCCGTATATAATTTATCTTTTATAAGGCCTATTCCATACTTTCACGGATACCAGTATTTCAAGTAATCGACAAAAGGCCGTTTCGCCAAACGTATCAAAAGCTTAATGAGGTTTAGTTTAAGTAGAGTTGTCCGTTACTTTTGTATTGAATGGGATTGGTATTAATAATAAAAGTGATCAAGTGTGGTGTTTGGCACATCCTTGGCCATAACGTTGAGTTGGTCTATGTAAACAAGTGGATAATAAAATTGAAAGGTTCCCACATGAAAGATTAAAAAAAAAACATCCTTGGCCATTGTACTGATGTCATCGTCTTTGCTTTTTGGAGGGATTTTAACAGAACAGAAGAATTCTTAACCTAAATTAGCAATATCTTTATATAATGTTGTCATCTCATTACACATTCAATATCAAAAGCTAGGAGAACAACATACGTGCCTGAAACAAACCTTGACACCAGTGTTGCATGACAGATAGTGATGTAACTGAGCCGTGCTGTTTCAATAATAGGCGAATAAGGCCAAATAACAAAAACTATTGTGTTGGCCACGGCCGACCGACCCAAAATTGAGGTTCGGCATTTTATTTATTTTTTTTTTCACTACAACGAAAAATATTTCTTTTAATGAGCTAAAAAGGCTGGAATATATCTATCTTACTGGACGGTAGGTGATACAACAGTGTTATGAGATCGTTTTGCTCTTCAATATAGATTTTAAAATGACATTTGTTGTATTTTTTGTGTATTTTCTACTTTTTAGGCATCAATTATTGGTCAAAAAAAATCTACGCAGCTACACATATTTTCGATTTTCCCAAAACGTGGCCAACACAAGATTTTTTTTGGCCTTACCATAGATTAATGGAGTCTAAATACTCTTTCCAGGAATTTAAATAGATTATCAATAGGCCTACAGTACCACATTGAGACTAGCTGGCTTAAAACGTATTTTGACAGGAAAAAATACGGATGTTTCACTTTGGTATTAACTAGTATGCAACTCTGGATGGGAGTAATGAAAATTGATGTTTGATTGTGGAATGTTTATTCGTTTTAGTTCACAGTGACCAATCCGGCGTACTTCCTATGCTCTGCTCCGGGCACAAACAATAGGCCTAGTTTGCAATACCCGTAACAATTAGAACTTCTGCCTTGGTCAATCTAGTCTCCTGGTAGGTGTATTTTGTAATATTTTGTTAGTATATCAGGCGAAATTGATTTTTTACATTTTGCGAATGCAATTTATTCATTTCATATTTTAAAAGCAAGCAAAAAATAAATAAAATCCATCGTTCGCTAGCTTTGATTCTCAATATTTAAAAAGAGATAAACTATGTATACAAAAAAAAAAGAAACCCCCCCACCAAAAAAAAAAAAAAACCCAAAAAACAAGGAGTATGAAATAGGTAACTCCAGCTAATTAAGTCTCTACAATCTACTACTCGATTCAATTGAATTCGACTCGTCATCGGGCGGAAAATAACTCGAGCCGAGTATTTTTGTGAAGAGAACTTACAGAGAACAATGTAGTCGAATCGACGGCTATCAATCATGAACTTACCCTGCAAGCCTGGCAAAAACAAAGTAGGATTGCCTCATGATAACGACTAATAATTGCTATAAAGATGCTGGTAGTAGTTTAGTTTATGTAAAGAAATGTTAAGTGAACAGAAACGTATTCAGTCATTTATTAAAATAGACATGACATATAAATAATAGACATTCCACATGTTTAAAGACAACCTCTGCAATGTTAAAATGATGTGCTATCTTCGTACGCTGTGACATGACTGGATGGCACATAATAAAGTTTTTTGCGAAGTTATTTCCGGCCTCAATGAAGTGGAATATTGACAACACGTATTTATTGACTTTAAACTGCAATAAATTAATACGGTGCTGTATATTTTTGGCATTTATTACGTCCGATTTTTGTTAATAACAAGTACGGCTTTGGAGCATCATATTCAACTAAAAACTTACTAGTTTAAATTGTTCATGTATCTTTTATATTTATAATTACATACAGGATTGCCTTCAACCTTTAATAGTGTAAACATCTCTTATTTGGGCGAGACCATACCTCCTTGCTTTCATCACATTACCCCCTTTTTGGATTGATCTTGTCTGTCGCCCAAATCATGCGAGACACTGAAAAAAGAATAAATAAAATGTTGTCTGTAAAAAAATATATTTATAGAAACCATTCAATTGCATAATTAAGAGAAGCTATCATGTTTTGCATTTGGAGTACTGTACTAAGTATTTATGCCAGACTACACCCAGTTTATAATTCATAATACACAAAAGAATAAAATAGGTATGACACAAACAACTCCTAGCACAGCCGAAAACTATTGTAGACTAGTATCAGGACACCCATTGTGCACCCCACCTTACAATGGCATGATCTATTGTTGGATGGCTTTTCACAGGGGTGGCTTGCTTCCGATTTCCGAATCATGCTACCAGGTTCATTCATAGTAAAAAAAATTAGGTTTGCGCGTCAGTGTTATTCCCATTTTAATTTTCAGTGAACGCTAGTACACAATTATTTTTAAGGGTCGGTCAGTGTATTACCAGCAAACAAGGCCGATTTTACTCGAAACTGAAATTGATTTAACAGGAAGACAATACGGTGTTACGAGGCCATTACCATCTTCAGTAAGGAGTGACAGACTAATAGGCATACACGTCAATATTACTTAGATAAAACGAGTAGTCCTACGCTGGTCTGGTGTAAGCCTGCACAGTGGATAATATTATTTATAGTCTTTTTTTATAGGATTAATAACTGCATTGAATATTTATGTTATTCACAGGAAAATTACATTAGGTCTCAGAAAATAAGCCTTGTATATTTCTGTAGAAATGACGCCCTGTTTTCGACAACTTGTTTTGGCAATCATGTGTTCATTACTTCATTTAGGTTTAAGCAGCAGCAGCAGTTATGGTAAGTTTTCATGATTTCAAATTTATATATTACCTACTTTAACTTGTACATTAAAAAAATATTTCTTTTTATTTTGTATAACCTTAATGGCGATCACTTTCATGTGCACCTCCCGTTCAATTTTATGGGACACACTTCCTCTTCATATTAAAACTGTCATAAACGTCGCCATTTTCAAAAGGAAACTTAGGTCATGCCTTTATTGTAAAAGCTTTTCCACCATAGTAACAGCAATCGACAATGCTGATACTACATTTATTATTATTATTATTATTATTATTATTATTATTATTATTATTATTATTATTATTATTATTATTATTATTATTATTATTATTATTATTATTATTAGGTCTATTTATTATTATATTATGTTATGTTAAAATGTGAAAACATCCTCAATTAGGTAATGGAATTCCATTGAAACACATATCAAAATAGTTACGTTTTCACTTATTCTATATACTGAATTAAAAAATGAGATCTGTACTATATTATTTTTCTCTGAAAGCTAATATTCCTAATGAATGTTACATTAAATAGTAGCATACCGTAAAACCTCGAATAGAAGCCCAATGGACTTAACTTCGAGAAGAATCCCATCTCGAAAAGTCCGAATCCCCTCCTTGGTTTCCAAAAGTAATCGCAAAAAGAATGTCTATCTCGAAAAGAGGCCGATTTCGAAAAGAAACCCATCCACGACGGGTCGTAAAAATTCGAGGTTTTCGGTAGGCCTATAGGCTACTAAAGTCGTAGCTTCATGTAGGCCAAAATAATGACCATAGCTCTAACGATGTTCTTATTTTCAATAGATATCAGTTTCCCGTGTACTGAGGGTGAATTTCAATGTGCTAATGGAAATTGTATTCCTGATTTTTTGGTATGTAATGACAACAATGAATGTGGAGATAATTCTGAAGAGGCTGAGAACATATGTAGTAAGTCACAAAATTGGCAAAGTTTTCATAACTATATATTTTAATGATGTTTTATTGATTGATTGACTTTATTAGGAACTCGTACAAATGTACAGTAATACTTATTTCCATTATGGTTCTCATAGAAATCACTTGGCAAAACAATACAACTAATTTTCTTCAACATGATAACATTTCTTACCGACATTGGGTTATTCTTATGGGGAAAAACCCTGTTCATAGGCCAAAATTATAATAAATCCGCCATATGCATTATTTTCAACCACATTAAATGTTCATTTTTGTAGAAAAAAAAAAGAAACCGAGATTACCTTTCAAGGTTAAGCTGTCTCTACACTACCAAATTTTATGTGACAAATAAATATGTGATAAGAGGGTAGCCCAACACAACAGGGCAACATCCAGTAGGAGAGAGAGACGACATGGGGAAGGGGGGGGGGGGGCACGTGCCCGCCCCGTTTTGCCATTAATTTTTATTTTTAATTTCAATGGAATGTTATGTGCTATTCGCTTATTTATTCTGAAACTGTTGTCCACCCCCGTTTGAAAATTTTGGATCCACCCTTGATCAAACTGCATAATAATTTCTCACAAGGACTATTCAGCAAGGACACCCGAAATGTCATTAAATACAAAGACGTCCTTTATCAAAAGAATGACATGGTAACTATAACATCCAAAACGATTGCATCCTCAACTTCCCACGTTCAAAAGTAGGCCTATACATCGCCACCTTTTCCCACTCATCATAGGGTATATGCTAGTGACGTTTAAAAGATAATGGAATATGTGCATGGGAATTGTTATTGAATATGAATTCACCCAGAGTCAACATATCTAGAGTGAGGTGTATGACAATGCATAAACGAGTACGGTGCATGAGCTTAACCTCGAGAAGAATCCCATCTCGAAAAGATCGAATCCCCCTCCTTGGTTTCCAAACGTAATCGCAAAAAGAATGTCTATCTCGTAAAGAGGCCGATTTCGAAAAGAAACCCATCCACGGGTCGTAAAAATTCGAGGTTTTACGGTAGGCCTATGCTACTATAGTAGTAGCTACATGTAGGCCTATTATTGACAGAATATAAATGACCAAAATGATGATCATAGCTCAAACGATGTTCTTATTTTCAATAGATATCAGTTTACCGTGTTTTGAGGGTGAATTTCAATGTGCTAATGGAAATTGTATTCCTGATTTTTTGGTATGTAATGACAACAATGAATGTGGAGATAATTCTGAAGAGGCTGAGAACATATGTAGTAAGTCACAAGATAGGCAAAGTTGTTATAGCTATATATTTTAATGATATTTTATTGATTGATTGACTTTATTAGGAACTCGTACAAATATACAGCAATACTTATTTCCATTGCGGTTCTCATAGAAATCACTTGGCAAAACAATACAAATACTTTTCTTCAACATGATAACATTTCTTACTGACATTGGGTTATTTTTATAGGAAAAAACCCTGTCAACAGATCTAAAGTGAGGTCTGTGACAATGTCTAAAAGAGTATGGTGCATGAGAGTGAGAACATATGGGATAAACAAAATAGTTGGTTGTTACGAGACCTATGGTAAAAACAGGGAAAGCCATCTGGCATCTTGTACTGAACGTGAGCGCGGTCCCGGAACATTGCAGTTTAATAGGTGTAGTAAGGGAGGTGGAATTTTATAAAGATGGTCGTGCGTAATCTTGCCCGACCATTTTCAATGTATTGTAGAATTTTGGTCACGGCTACATGCTGGGCAGAGTTAGCCATGCTTGTTTTTATAGACCACGAATTGTCACACTTTAAAAGTAGGCGTACAATTTGTGACAAAACAGAAGGTGTGATAGCCGGGCATATGGAAATACTGTAGTCTACACGAGGAAAGCATGTGATCACTTTTCGAATTCGAAATTAGAGTAAGAACAAATCACCACTGTTTGTAACACGATAATTGCACGCTTATTTTTTGACCTCATCCGAGCCGAGCAAGTCAGACCGTTAGCAGCTTTAATAAATAAAAATACTTGATGTAGTATCACAAACCATGTCAATAGGACTGATTGCGTCATCAAATTAACGTCAAAACAAATTTTAATCATTTATATTTTGGCCTGAAAATAATTAAAATTCTTGGCGGTGTAATTAATAGGAAAGCTTCAGTAATAAATAATGTCCGGGCCCCATATTGCAGCTATAATAGTGTCTCTTATACACATCT